TGAAATATTGCATTTGAAATATTTCATTCACATTGCTGCTAGTGTGAAACCCCTAGAAGGGTAATGTGTGTGAAAGAAAAATGTAAATTAACGGGGTGGTGTGTGTGTGTGTGTGAGGGTGTTAGATCCTCTAATTTTTGGGATTAACATTTTTTTTCTCTATAATTCAAAACGAAAAAGAGAAAAAATTCATTAGAAAATCACATGTTTATCAAGAATGAAACAGGAAAAAAAACATACATCCATTTGTGTCTTTTCCATTTCAAAAAATGAGAAGAAAATGTCAAATATAACACCAATAATAATAAATTATTTTGGTTGAAATTTGATGAAAAAAAAAGAAATTTGAAATTAAAGAAAATGCAAATTTCTATTTAGAGATAATGATGATTATGTGTTGTTGTTGTTGTTATTGCGTGTGATTTGAATTTTGGATTTTCAACAAACAAAAATCGGATATTAAAATTCTAAGAATTTTTGTTGTTGTTGTTGTTGTTTGATCAAATATCGAAATCCTTTTATTTTTGTTGTTCAAGCATTGATTAAAGAATATTCTCTGGAATTTTTTTCTCTTTATTCCTCTCTCTATTTGTTTTTGTTTCCGTCGAAAACAAAAACAAAAGCAATCCTCCTACGTGTGTGTGTGTGTGTGGATCACACATACAGATCACGTGATTTGGATGTTTTTTTTTGTTCATGAAAAACAATTCGCAACAGGAAAAAAAATTGGATATTTTCATTCAATTTAATCAATTTTGTTTTCTTGATAATAACCCTTATTGACAGTTGAAAAAAATAAATATATACCGGATAAATCATGTTTATTATCCGGTATATTGAATCAATAATCAATCAATCGATAGCCAAAAAAAAAGTGATAGTTTTTTTTCAAAATGTTACAAATTTATTTTCGAACGACGAATTGTCACATGATAGTCGTCTTCTTAGTCGTAACTCTGTTAATCTAAATCGATTTTTGTTTTTTGTTTTCCACCACCACTACTATCATTAAAATGATTCGATTTTTCATTTCATTTCATTTAATCATCGCAAACAACCTTCACTTTTTTTTCAATTATCATTAATAATTTTATCCATTCAGTGTTTTATCTTTTCATTTCTATCTCTCTCTCTCTCTCACTTTAATTCTTTTCATTCATTTTAATTTCAAACAAACAAACAAACAAAAATCAATTTTTTCGGGTTCTTTTTTTATTGATCGATTTTTTTTATTGTTTCGGGTGCAGAAAATCGAAAAAAATGATTTTGTTCAAAGGAAAACAAACAGGTAACAATTCCAGATAATGAAATAAGAAAATTTATAGTGATAATGATTGTTGTTTTTGTTTTGAATAAATTAACAATCTCTTCATGTACATTTTTCATATGAAAGTTGTTTTTTTTACGAAAAAAACAACAAACCAACAACAAATAAAACTAGACAAAATTTGTTGATAAAATTATTAAGAAATAAAAAAATTCATTATCCTTACCACACACGAGATACAATTTGTACAAATCGTTTTTTTTTTGTACGCGAGACAAACCAACGATCGATATCAAATAGATTTTTTCCTGTCTAGTTTTTTGTTTTATCAAGGTTTTTTTTTCTCTAATTTGAATCTTTCTCTTTCTTTTTGAATGAAAATCAATGAACCAGGCAAATAATTTATTCGCTGAATAGATACAGATCATTTAGTTTTAGTTAGTTTGAAGGAGAAAGAGAGAGAAAAAAAACGGAACCAAACGAACAAATCATTCTTCTAAATAATGACAGAATATTTTAACAAATCAAATAAGATACATTGTAACAAAAAATCAATGAATTGCCAACCAAAAAACAAAACAAAACAAACCATAAAAAGAGGAAAAACGATTCTATATTTGAGAAATAAATAAAATGGACAATCTTGTTGATGATGGTGATGGCAAGTTATATATGATGCCAAATTTGATTAAATCAATTTCGTTTCTTTCAAACGTTAAGAAATTCCGAAAAAATGGAAGAAAAAACATTGAAAAATTAATAATTTTTGGATTGATACGTGGGGAATGAATGTGACCAATCATTTTTGACAAATTTATTTATTCTTTTCAAATGGTTTTTTCGGGTTCGGTATTTATTTGTTGATGTTTCAATAAAATGTTTTTTTATTATTATCTAAACTAAACAAAAAGGGAAAGTGGGTAGGAAAAAAAACGATAAGATCTTTTAACCATATGATATTGAAAAAAGAATATTCTATTGCCGCTGCCCTCTACTTTTCCTTTTCTTTTTTATGTTGTTGTTGAACAATCAAAAAATAAAAAAAGAAGAAGCTGAAATCATCAATTGATGACACCAGAATGTCAAAACAAAACAGAATATAAAAAAAATATACAATTCTTCAATTACTCTATTTTTTTCACTCATTCATCCGGGATTCTGATTTCGAGAAAGAGAATCAGAATCAGAATATCTCTATTTTTTTTCTTCCCGTTTTCATTAATGCTGCGGAACACAATTGTTGTGTGTGTGTGTGTGTGTCTGTCAAAATGACAATATTTTCTTTTTCTTCACAGGAAAAAAAATGGGTCATAAGATTGTTGGTTGGTTATCATTTTGTTTGTCTGGCTATCATCAGGGAGAATGGATATGGTTTTTTTTCTGGATTTTTTTTTTGTGTCTGGGATTCTTTTTTTTCGCTTGCTGTTTTTTTTCGTTGTTGTAATGTTGTTGATGATGATATTTGGTGGTTTGATATCAATCAATCGTCGAAGTTGAAAAAAATGAAAATTTTTTTGATACAAATATGAAAAGCGTGTGTAAAAAAAGAGAGATTTTACAATAAAAATATTGTCGAATCTATTTCTATTTCCTTATTTCCTAATTCTCTCTCATCATTTGAATTAAGAAAAAAGAAACTAGGCTAAATTGTTGTTCAAAGGATACATTGTAACTTGATTTAAAATAGGAAAAAAATATTGATAAATTTTTCTAAATTTGATTAAATTCATTGGAAGAAAATACAAATAAATCAAGTGCATCGATTAAGTGTGTGTTCAATTTAATAGTGAAAGTGAAAGTTAACCAAAAAAATGAAAGAAATCAAGATTGATTTGTTATATGGAAAAAAAACGAAAGAAAGATATTGATGATAATCAATGGAAAAAAATCAATGATTAAATAAATGAATGAATGATTTGACATTGACATCGATGACGTTCATTTCGTAATTGATTTCCTTTTTTTCTTTCTTTCTTTCTTTTTCTGGTTAATGTCAATGTACAAAATATGAATCAAACAATTAAATTTTACTGAAAAACTAGACAAAACTCGTTATGATTTTTTCTTTTCTTCACTA